AAAGGCTGGTCATATTATATATCATGGGAATTATAATAAATACTAATCATACTGTCTCCATTATTATTTTTGTTCAGATCTTGCTTACCCATTATTTGGATGTATCTATTGGTATTTTCATGACATCATTAATAATATGACATAACACGATTGGTTTTAAGACAAAATTATATGTTCAATTATTTTCTCTCCCCCTCCCTCCCTCCCTCCCTCCCTCCCTCCCTCTCCCTCTCTCTCTCCCTCTCTGTCCCTGCCCTCTTTCTCTCTCAAAGGTTCATTTTATTAGAAATCCACTTAGAACAGTTGTTCACAAAGCATCGTCCCCAGACCAGCATCATCAGTATCATCTGAGAATTTGATGGAAATGAAAGTTTGGGGGCCTCACCCCAGACTCACAGAATCGGGATAAATCAAGCCTTGTAGATTCTTCAGTATACACTACTGCTTGAGAGCACTCATCAAGGCTTAATGATATTCAAAGTTGATTCCTGGCATCACTGTRTATGTTAAGATGTATAGGAACCCCGTTTACTGAAGCCCCTCAGCAGATGACTTTTACTTTTGACCAAAAGAGTTAYAATAAAACTATATTCTTGATTGATATCAAAGCATTAATTTTGAGACTGTGGTCAAAGTAATGACTCTGTAGCTAACATTTATTCAATACTTATTTTGTGGAAAACAAAAAGTAAGCTAAGAGACTGTGCTAAATTAGACTACAAAGATGTGTCATTTCAGTGTGTGATCTTTGGTTCTATTTTGAATGGAAGTTAATGTTCATAGATGAAAAAGATTACCAGGACCACTGGTGAAATTTGACAATGCATATGTATTAGATATTACTGTACCTACATTAAATTTCTTGGATGGAATAATGGAATGAAAAAATTAGGAATTTTTAGGATTTTTTAAGCTAAGATGTGCACAGGCAGAGGGGGAGATTTCTTGAACATTTTACAAATGATTTAATTGTAACAACAAATAGAATTTATGTAGATCCACAGCAACTATAGCAAAGTATGGCAAGTATTGTTGGCTGTTGGTGAATCTGAGTGAAGGGTATGTGTGTGAAMCTTACTTCCTGCTCATTCAACTTTTCTGTGAGATTATTTTGTKAACATGTTTGAATATGAAGAATGAATAATAAATACAAATATTCTTTCATGCCTTATTTCTGGTAATCAATGTATATTACCTTTATACCATTGTATACCAGAATGGCCACATCTTTCAGTTGTCTTTTTCCTTCCTCTGTTTATTTCTGAATTCCCTTACTACTACTTGGAACTGATCTTCAAAATACATGATCCTCAGCACCACTAACTTTTGATACAGGCATTTTGTTTGTTTGTTGATAGAACCCCGACTTAGACAATGGGCTATTTSTAGTTATGTTTGAAGAGCACGAGAATTGTTAGGATTATGTCGACCACCTTATTAGAGTCTGTGTGATTACCTAGAAGAAAGARTAGACAGTAGCACAGTCTTCTTTGTTCTTACTTTGCCTCCTTCAGGTAATTTACCCATCAGGTGACTGGCAGAGCTGCAGAAACAGTGAGTTAAGAGGAAGATGTTGGTACATCTGTAGAATTCTGGTAGTTGGTTATAAGACTATGGCTGCTGGGAACAAGTATAAAATGCTGAGAACAGCAAGACAGCCCATAAATCTAAAGGTACATAGACGRTAGATGAGAATACGAAGAGAAGGGTTGGGGCTGGAACTTGGGTAGGACTTCAGTTATTTGAACTATGACATGAAGTAGAGTCTTGAATGTGAGAAAGAGTCCTATTGTTATTCATAATGGTGATTAAAATGTAGAAGCAAAGCTATTTTCATAAAGTTAGATGGAGCAGCCGGGGGTGGGGGGGGGTTGCTCAAAATTCCAGAGCACTAGGCTGGAACTTGTTAATAAATTGCATCAACCTAATATGAGAAACTGAAAATGGGCAGCAAGTCCAGTTTAGAGGAAAAGGAGGAGAAGGAGGCTGGAAATCAGTTGAAATCTTACAAGCATGGACTGGTTGCATGCCATAATTACTTGTTTCATTGTATAGCTCAGGGTAATTCTGTGACTTTTGAATCTCTGTGGTTAGATATCCCATGGACTTAGGGCATGGGCAGTTGATATACTTTCTACTACAGTCAAGTACAGATGTTGAAGTCCTGATTATATCYTGTCTCTTTGCTGATACCCCTAGGGAACACTTAATGGATGATGCTTCCCTTAAGAAGAAGAATAATTAACAATAGCTATATTATTCCTATTAATTTATAGTCACTAGTTGCTACAATTAATGCCATTTATGAAAATCATCATAATTATGGCACATTACAATTTATAGAGTATTTTCCCATCCATTTTCTTATCTGAATCTTGTAACATCCCTCTGGTGTGGGCAGGGCAGGTAATGTTCTCTTCATTTTGCAGATGAAGAAACTGTGGTCCAGGGAAAACCGTAGCAGACTCTAGTCCACTGTCTTGGCCAACATAGTGTGCTATCTGTGTATACTCAGAAATTTATTTTTTGAATTCATATTTATGATAATATTTTACATCCACAACCAAGAAAATCAAATTCAACTGCTTCTAATTTGTCTTYCTAGTGTCTTGCTTTTCTGGGACTCATTGATCAGTGTGTTTACTTGCATTTTAAATGTTAAAGGGGCTTTAATTTTATAATTCCATGGTGTTTCATAGTTATTAATGCCCTTTGGGATAAAGATGGAATAACCTTGAGTAGAGGAATTAGCTCCTTGAAAACATCTAGGACAAAGAGCCACTGGCCTTAAAACTTAATTAGACTGAAAACTCAAGACTCTGAGAAAAACACAGCCATACTATAAAAGTGCCATTTTTTTAACATTTTTTACATTTTTTGCTGAGGAAAGGGTGCTGAGGAAAATCTTTTTATTTCACAAGCCCAATATGAACTTTGGGTTATCCAGGCTGACATACACATACACACTGGCATGCACACACACACGTGTACATACACACTGAGACTTTTTGGCTCCCTTTTTATATAAGGGAGTCTCACTGCTTCTTATTATATCTCAAGCTGCATTTAATCCAAAGATGTTGATAAGATAAAGGTTTATTGGGCTGGGGATGCGGCTCAAGCTGTAGCATGCTCGCCTGGCATACGTGCGGCCCAGGTTCGATCCTCAGCACCACATACAAACAAAGATGTTGTGTCCGCCAAAAACTAAAAAATAAATATTAGAAAAAATCTCTCTCTCCCCCCCCCTCTCTTTCTCCTCTCTCTCTCTCAAAAAAAAAAAAAAAGATAGTTTTATGGCTGGACCCATGGCAAAATCATTATTTGTTAAAGTATTGACCCCCAAATACTCATTGAACACTTACTTGGGTCAGGTCCTTGAGCAAGATTCGAGGGAAGCAATGAGGACCAAACCAGACAAAGTCCTTGCCCTCAGGAAACTTCCTTTACCTCCTAGGGAGAGATTAATCATCAATAGACAAGTGCCCAAGAAGCTTAGTGCTTAGATGATGCCACATATTATTGAGGTGATAGAAGAATGTAGCAGCTCATAACGATATATTCAGAGAGTTAGAAAAATCACAAGATGGCTACTTAGGCCATATGATAAGAGATACTCATATTTCAAGAAGTCTTAGAAACAGGGACACCCAATTACCTTAGGAGGCAAGTGGCAATCCAGGTCTTGTTCCACGGCTAAAACTTCATAGAGAGCTGATATTATCAGGTCCAGGAGGGACTCATTCCTGGCTGAATTCATAACAGGTTTACAGATGCATCAGATCCCATTAAGTTGCTTTTACACAGACAAATAAATTAATAAATTCCAGGACTCAGGGAAGCTGGCTTGGTAAGCAGTATACTAGTAAAAAAGGAACTAGTGTTCTTAATAGGCAGTGCTATTATGCATTATGCCTGATGTCACATATTCTCTCAAACAACCTATTTACTTCAAGCATTGTGAGGTTTAATGGTAGCCTGCCAGGGCACCAGATTTTTGTTGTTGGTCCTGAGGATATTCTATATGCTTGGCTAATGCCTTTTCTAGGCTCTTGCTGGCATTAAACACTATCCTGACATTTGTCGTCCTTCAGTAAGTCCTTTTAGATTCATTAGATGATAATAACTGCCTATTGTTTTATTTCTCCCGGGATTCTAAAGRTGCACTTTGAGTGATGGACTGACTGTTAGGTGTGCATCAGGCATAGATGATCATTATTACATTGTCAACTTATAAGATTTTTTTATCTTGTCCTGCTTCCAAATCATGGGTTCACCTCTTTTCATATATCCTTGCCTTAAAGTTTATGCATACTCTTTACTTGYTTTTCCCAAACCAGATCACAGTTCTTGGTAATGTCCTGTGGCAGTGTTATTGCCCCAACTCTGATCCTGTTGATACTGAGTGCAGCTATCTGGGAGTACTGATGCATAAAATAAAGAGATCCCCAACCATCCTTAGTGTTCACTGTGACTTCTTCCTCAGCAGCCCATCACCAGAGCCTKTATGGTCTCTTTTAGTTCATGTTTTAGGTGCATTCCTGGGCCTTGCTGACCCCAGATACCCAAACTCTTTTGTGCCCTCATGTCTTCAAGTGCTGATTTTTTTTTTCTTCTGGACAGTGATTCTCCCTTTCTTGCCCATTGCTACTCCAATAAAATATCATTCTACACCCTAGTTTCTGAGTGCAGAGAGCCTGAGATAGCCCCTCAATTGGTCTGTCTCTTGGGTGCAAGGATGATATTGTGTCTAAAATAATCATATGGTCTTAGGAAAAAAGAAACTTTTTTTTTTTAGTTTTTCTTTTCTGTCAAAAGGGATAATTCTATTTTAGCTCAATGAGATTTAATGAAAATCTTTAAAAAAATAAGAATTAAAAAATGCATGATGTTGTCAGGAAAAAAAAAACTTGGAAAAACAGAGCGCAAGCTTGATTGATTTGAACTCATAAGGCTATCCATGGAAAATTATTTATTTTTAAYGTGCATGTTTTTTCTAGCAGGGAAATCCTGGAGGCAAGACCCTTGAGGAGAGGCGCTCCAGCCTGGATGCAGAGATAGACTCTTTGACCAGCATCCTAGCTGACCTCGAGTGCAGTTCCCCTTACAAGCCTCGGCCTCCACAGGTGAGTGCTGCCCTTGTGGTCACTCCACATGGTTACCTGCAGGTGTTCTTCTCCCTCTCATAGATCAAGCTACTTCCTTCGGCTCTGTCATTCTTCTTTGATCTTCTTAGAGTCAGTAGTMTAAGCTGGGTTTTTACTTCATGCCAATATGTGCTGATGAACGGGCAGAAACTTCTTAAGGTGATTTTTATTAGTAATTTCCTTTAAAATAACACGATAATGTTATCCAAAAATATTGTTGAAAAGTGAGACTCTTTTTCTGACATGGCTCTGTTTTCTGGCTTTCAGTATGGATATTATATTATATGTTATAYACTCTCTATAAATCTGACTTATCATGAGGAGCTCTTTTATAAGGAATTCCTTGTGTGGGACATTGAGGTGATTTCCATTTTTGTTATGAGCAAAGCTACAAGGGACTTGTTCATGTGTATTTTTATTTATTTTTTATTTTTTTGGAGCTATTTCTCTGCCTCAGAGTTCTAACACTGGGATTCCCACATGGAGGAGAATGACTAGATTCTTTAGTTTCCTTCTGAAGGTTGGGACTAGTTTATACTGGCACCAGCCATTTGAATATATCACTTTCTTCTCAAATTCACCAGAATTAGGTGATAGTAATTTTTCTGTTTATTTTTTTAAGTGCAAATGGTGCCTTGTTAATATTTTTTTTCTTTGCTATTTTTGCTTACTTTGGAATTGGGTTATCTTCCCTACATCTTGGTTTATTATTTGCATTTTGAAAGCTGCTCTTCCAAACCTAGTTATCATTCTCTTCTTCTCTGAGGGTCATCACAGATCTGTTTTGTGGCTTCTAAGTCCTTAGAAGACAGCCATCAAAACTCTAGATGATATGATTGGATAAGTATTTTTGTCACTGAGTTGTTGGACTCTTTTGTGAGGTGTGCTTGACTAAGTGACAGTGTGTATACCACTCTGAGTCCCACTCCAATTCTTGAGCGGCAGCTGCTGTATTAACAATGATTCCTTTCATGAATTAAAAAGCAGTCCTGCGTCTCTGCTGTCAGTCATGCTAACACTTAACTGCACATAAGGTTGCAGTTCTGTTCTCTTTAGACACATTCCCATTACCTTTTCTACACAGATAATGGAATTGTCAGGTATGTGGGGGCACAAGGCAAAACATACTGGAGATTAGCTTTTCCTTACCTATATTTGCTTGTGGCTCTTCCAGTCCTGTTAGTAGTAAAAATGTCCTTCATTTCTACGAACATAGACTGAGCTGTTGGTATATAGCAGGCGTTGTGGTCTTTTGCGGGAACTCACAGGAACAGGAAAATTGATGATTGAAAGAGAGAGACATATAAGACTCGGTTGTCAACTTCTAGTAGCCCCTAGTATTATGTAAGGTAAACTATGGTTCATACTCAAAAGCACAAGGAAGAGAGTAGTTTATGCTTTCAAAGGTGGAAAATCTGAAAATTCTCATCAGAAGCTTTCCATGTTATTGGAAGGATGAATGGCATTGGTTTTTGAAACAAGAAGGAAGAAGAACCTTAGAAAATAGATTTTTACTGACCCAGGATGGGGTGGCCAAGGCCACATAAGGACAAGCATTCGGAGTTGTGAAATAAACCATTGGAGGATTGAAGTGTTGTGGGGGCTGGATGGTTCCTACAGCAGACTACAGGATAGTTTGGAAGACAGATTCTTTTGTAGGTGACAGAGAATACTTGAAGGTGATCAACTAGGCGAAAGCTCAAATTCACTAAGTGACATAAAAGGAACATAGCAAACAAGGCTAATTCTGCAGGAAGATGGACCCAGGTCTGAGAAATTTTTTTTTCCAGTAGGCCCATGCTTTATGATTTGATGATATTCATCAACTCTCCATTTCCACCTGATGAAATACCTTTAGTCTAGTTTCTTATGGCAGCAAGACTGTCTTTGCCACTGATCTCAGTCACATTATGCCCAAATGCTTCTATGCATTCCYGTCTTATTATTTTAGCGGGATTTTGCTTTCATCTTCTCACTCTAAAGTCTTAAAACCTAGAGGGTTATATATGGATAAGATCATGCCGTGAGGTTTTCACTTAGTGTAGCTTTCATTCTTTAAGGTGATGTCTACACATGCCTCCCATAAACCATTACATTTTAATGGGTTTATTCAGCAGTGATGTTATTGTTTGAGCAATCTTACTGTGCACACAAACTCAGAATCACTGTTATTATTTGGACAGTAGTTGACTGATTGTGAAGCACTTTCACATAGACTCTCACTTGTGTGAGGTATAGATAACTCTTGAGATATAGATAACTCTGATATATAAATGATGTGCTTATTTCATGGATGAGGAAATGAAGGCCCAAAAGATAAGTGGCTTGTTTTTGACTACATTGTATGAACCAAATTGGACCTTGAATTTAGGCCTGTATTTGGCTTTCAGTTTTAAAAACAGATTGAAGRTATCAGGCATATTTATATCTTTCATATTTTACCATTGAAATTAGTCATGTAAGTTTCAGTGTCCCTTGAGTATGGCTTTCCCATAAAGAGAAAAAACATTCAGAAGGTTTAACAAAATAATTATGATTAACATTAAGTTGACTATATCCATAATTGRGGCAAAACCTACTTATAATGTGCCTGTTCCATTCAGAATTTAAAGGATGATCCATCCTATTATTTTTAATTATTCCAATATAGGRAAGAATGAGTTAATTAGAAGATCGATCTCATCCTTCTGAATTATATTCACTCTGGTGGAACTGAATTAGATGTGTTAGTATTTATTGGTGAATATAATTATACACTGTGAGAACAATAATCACATGCTTAAAATATTAAAAGTACGTGACAAAGGGAGATTATGTCTACAGTAGACTGTGCTGTTGTAATTAAAAGGTATTTGAAAAATCCTAGAAACATAGACTGTTAACCGACAACTTTGAAGTTTCTGTTTTTGAGCCAAAGCAAATTTCAAATTCAAAACCTAGTGAGTCACCTGACCACCTCAAGTAGGCTAGTAAGTCTCTGATTTCTCGTGAGTCAAGCATGTGTTGTATGTTTTCCCAAATCTGCCTCTGAATCACCTTTGTAAAGCTGCTTTGACTCATGGATCTGGGGGGGGCGATGGTGTATATGTGGAATATTTGTTCAGTAAGAGGTTTCAGGGAACTCTACTCACATAGTAATTTGTGAAGAAGTGCCTGAGCTTTTGAAAATAGATTTTTACTGAAGCCTTTCCCTCCATTTTCTAAAGGGACCGTTCTCACCCTCAGATTTTCCATATTTAGTTCTGTTCACTTATTCATCCATTTGTTTATTTAGGCAATATAGCCTAATTCTACATATTCATCTGTCTATCCAGTAATTTGCTTAATGAACATAGAGATACCTACCATGAATTAGGTATTGGAGTCAGAAGAGTTAGTCCTTAGTCTAGAGTAATTCGTAATCTTATAGAATAGAGAAATACACAAATAATCCAGAGTGACACAAAAGGGCCTCACTGTACACTTAAGTTATCATGTGACTCAGTACAAAACTGTTCAGAGATAAAAAATGGGAATGTCAACACTGTACCTTCTACATTTTTAGTTTCTGGAAGGGTTGCATAGAGAAGGAAGCCTTTGCATTCATATAGCTGTATGTGTTACAGGAAGCACATTGGAATCAAGGTACCAGAGTAATAGGAATAAGAAAGTACAGGAATGTTGAATAATGTTTCTTTGCTATTGTACTAACTGAATTATTCAATGTGGAGTATAAGAAGTATAAAGGAAAACATCATATGAAAAAAAAAGTTAAGTATACTTAGTACCTAGTAGCTTTTGATTTGTTTTTTTTGTTTGTTTTTTATTTCATACATCAGCCAATTCTCGATGACACCAAGTGAATGTCTACAACTCAATCCAATTCTGACATTATGTACCTGTAGTTACTAATGTCACATTAAGGAGGAGAAATTTATTGGGGATAGCAAATGTGTTTCTGGACACAGTGAATTTGGGGATAAAACCTTCATCAAAGTTTGCATGATTTCTATAAATATATATTCATGATGCATATATGAACAAAGTTATACAATTAATGTACCTTAGTGGTAGTAGAAACTAAACTCTTTCAGCATTTAAAAATGTGCATATTAGCTAGTAATTTTAGAAGAACAGATTTGAGACATTTGGATGTGGTTGTTTTTGACCCTATTTTGTAACCTAGAGCTCCTAACCCTCTTGGAATTTCCTGGATGATAGACACATCCCTTGTCATAATGAGGTGAATCTTGAGGGGTCCTAGATGGGAAGAAAAAGCTTTGAGTAGAAGCCTGGTATTTTGAGCTCCCACCCTTTATCCTGTGGGAAGGAGACCCTGGGAGGTTGATTAATGATTGATCATGTCTCTGTGAAGAAAATTCTGTAAAAATTCCATAAGAGAGAGTTCAGATAGGTCTCCTGTCAGTGAACATATGCATATGGCAGGAGGGTGGCATCCTTCAACTCACTCCACCAAGACAGAAGCGTCTGCACTCAGGACCTTCCAGGCCTACCTCTGTGCACTCTTCATCCACCCATTCATATGGACCTTTTATCTTTTTTAATACACAGGTAAGTATAAAGGAGTATTTTCCTGAGCCATTGAAGCAAATTATCAAACCTGATTTTGAATACCTCCATTTTGTTGCTAAGTTCAATAGAAATGTGGGTAGTAACTTGGTGGATCATTGTTTTGGTTGATGTGTAAAGTGGGGGCAGTGTGTGAGGTGAGCCTTTAACCCATAGGGTGTGCAGTAACTGCAGGTACATAGTGTCAGAATTGGATTGAGTTGTAGGACATCCACTTGATGTCAGAATATTGGTTGTTGTATGACAAAAACCCCAAATGTATGCTATCAAATGTGAAGGCTTTAACTGGGCACATGGTACATGCCTCCAATCCCAGCAGTTCAGGAGGCTGAGGTAGAGGGATTATGAGATCAAAGCCAGCCTCATCAACTGAGAAGGTCCTAAGCAATTTAGTGAGGCCCTGTCTCTAA